CATCCATCTATCCATCCATCTATCCATCCATCCATCCATCCATCCATCTATCCATCCATCCATCCATCCATCCATCTATCCATCCATCCATCCATCCATCTATCTATCCATCTATCTATCTATCCATCTATCTATCCATTTATCCATCCATCTATCTATCCATCTATCCATGCATCCATCCATGCATCCATCCATCTATCTATCCATTTATCCATCCATCCATCTATCCATCCATCCATCCATCCATCCATCTATTGTTTTTATCCCAGCATTGAAAAGCTATGGATATTGATTACATAAATGTTCATAAATAAGTGTCCAGTAATAAATATCCAATAATAAAGCAAAACAGAATAATAAAAACAAAACAAAGATGCAGAGTCTTAAAAAAAAAGCCACATAAGGGAAATGAGGTGGGGAAGGACATAAGGAAGATCATAACAAGCAATATTAATACTAGGGGTGAGCAACTTCATTAATATTTTATTTGCTTTTACGTATTTACCACGTCTTGTAAGGTCCTTGATATCAGTGAGTATAGCCAAAGTAACCACTAACTTGCCAATAGGAGAAAGCTACTACTGCCACTTATATAACTTTATAGTATTATACTAAGTATACTTAGTGCAATATAAGAAACTTGATATTAAAAGAAAAAAAAACAGCAAAAGCTGGGGAAGCCATTGTCCAATTTCAGACTTGATTATGAAATGAAGAATTAACAGCATAATACTAATTCTTCATTTCATGAGTAAGTCTAACATTGGACATTGGTTTCCCACTTTTGCTAAAAAAAATTCTGTGTATCATTATCTGATTACTATAGCCATTTTCCTTGAGAAACTGCGAGCACAATTCAATCTGCTTATGGACACTAAATTGGGTTTCTGTGGAATTCTGGCTTATCACTGATATGAGCACAGCTGATTATGATTTAACTGTTCAAGTTGCCTTCGCTTAATGAATGACCCCAATTAATTATGGTTTGTTCAGTATGTCATAGTTAAACAAACCATAGCTGTATGTGATATGTTGAACTCATCGGAAAGTCAAATGTCATTATCCACATCATAATTAGACAGTATAATAAAAACACAGTCCATTTTCCATGGATAAGATTTAGTCTATATCTTTATAGCGTTTTCTCCAAATTATCAAATGCAGCCGCCTAATCAGATGTGGTAGGTTCCAGATTCCATTGCAACCGGTACGGTTGCAGCGGGCCCCGGCATCCTCCACATGAACTTGCGTGGCGCGCGCATGCGTTGTACCTTCCAGCGATGCCGCCACAAGCCTCCGCAACGCTCCAGCTGCTTGGTGGTGCATCACGCAGGTGCTGTACGCGCCATGCGCGTGTGCGAAAGCACCAAAGGCTTTAAAGGATAGGTAAGGGCAGGCGGGTGGGCTCTCTGTAGCGGAATGGTACCCAGTGCTCCGGGCAGGCTCCGGTACGCCTGTACTGGGGCGTACCGCCTGCAACTCACCACTGATATGCTGCCAGTTTTTAAGTTGGTCAGATTTTTTTTTTAAAAAAAATC